TTATGCCAATATTCATGCAAGTCGAGCCAATTTCATACTTCACTCCTAGATCGATAAGACATATTTCTAATCATATCTATTGATTTTTATTATTCCCTTTTCGGGTTTTTCTTTTTTGTTAAACCCTAATGTAAGATTCTATTTTGAATGAAGAGGAGAACGAAACATTTCTTATAAGGGTGTGGAAACATTTTCCTAGTAGACGTGTTTTAAAACCTTGAGGAGAGATCTGTTAGTAGTGGGCTTGGACTGTTACAACTGGTATAAAAGCTAGACACTGAGTGATGTGCTAACGAGAACGTCGGGCCTTTAAAAAAGGTGGATGGTGAGATCACACATTGTTTAGAGAAGAGAACGAATAAAAAATTAGGACAAGATTGTAAATTTAGTTTCAAAACCCGTGTCGAAGAGATCTCAAACTTCAACATGTTTAATAAATTTATGGACTTTTAATTTTGAATTTCATAGAACTATTAAGTTTCGCTCGTAATTCTTTTTTGGTGTCTAATTAATTCTTGAACTTTTAGAGTTGAGTTTGATGAATCTTTGAATAATTTAACTTTTTTTTAGTCCGGAGAGTACATATATTTGTTCAAATAACGGTCTAGTGGATTGAATATATATATATATATTTAAATCAGTTAAACTATGCTCAGATTGGTACGAATATAAAAAGTAAATAACTCCCCCTCAAGATTTTAAAACGCAACTACTAGACAGAAATTTCTACTATCTTATAAAAATGTTTTGTTTTCCGCTCGGATCAATTTGAAATCTCGAACTTTATCTCTCAATATTTTGAAATAAGAACAAATTTTATTTTGAATTCTCCTAAGCATTTGCATGTGAGTGACATCAAACATGGTGCAATTTAGAATGTTTTCATGTGAGGATTCCCAAATAATAATAATAATAATAATTTAAAAAAACAACAAAGTTCAATGGATTGCTATGCTTCATTAAAAAGGCAACATTACAAGACCACCAATGTTACAAGTTTGGATGTCCATTTCAATCCACATGTATTAAAGATAACCCCTATCCTTTTTGTTTCTAATTTAAACTTGAGGACCCTATACAACAAAACCGAAAAATGTAACAATTTATACCCAAAATTTGGATTTGACACTTGATGGTCCCGACATTTCCTACAATATGCGCACGTTACTTGCTCGATCATCCTCACAAACCAACACGAGTCATTCCAGCATGTTTTGTCCTCACTCACGTGTATCCTTGGAAAGATTTACAAGAGGTCACTCAACATAAAATTGTTCACAGTAAAGTACGTTTTAACCCTGAGTTTCTATGACTAAGCTACCGAAAAGAAAAGTGTACCTAATATAGGTAGCGACTTTCAATTTTTTCAAGTTTTTCTTAATCATCTTATATTTTTAATCACTCTCATGTGAATGTAGTATCAGTTACTTCCTATACCCTTATTTTATTCGAAAGGGTGTTTAGGCTCATAAATGAGATCCATTCATTCAACCACTAATTACACTAAAAATTTTCAATATCTAAAGCGTAATGTCAGAAGAATTCAGTCATCAAAACAAAACCCACATCGAAAAATTTTAAATTTACAGACCCCACTTTCTCTCTCTAATTATTGTAATTATTGAGTAAACTGAGCTGCAAAGGCATGTGATGCCCACTTAGGTGGGAGAAGCTATGGCATTGGTGATTTCATTGAGTAAAGATTTAGTTTTGATCATAATTTACCATCAATTATACGATTCGTCACTTTATCCAACAAATGTGGAATCTCACCGTCTACCCATTTATGAGTCCATTGTCAACATTCGTTTCTCTCTCCAATCGATGTGGGATCTTACAGAAAAAATTTGTGTCTACTAATATATCGTTCATATGAATAAATAGAAACACACATGTGAAGTAAACTTTGATGTTAAGGTTAGAAAAAAACGTAAACGATAGGGTGTGAAGTTAAAAGAAGGAAGACAACAACATAAATGGTCGCTATGTGTTTTTTTTTCTCCAAGAATGTGTTGAAATTTGTTTACGTTATGATACGATCCATCAAAGAATTTAACGGTACAAATTCTTCGAGAATTATTAATGTTAAAACCAAACTTTTCAAAGTTTGGAAACGTAATTAAAAGCTATCGAAATATGGACCAATGAAAGTTTAACTCCGAAAGGAACAGAGTTATATTTGATAATTTATTTATTTATTTTCTTTTTTTGGTAATATTGGGAAACCAACCACCGACCATGTCTTGTTTGATTAATTTAAGGTATTCATGAAAATGTCGGTTTTTTTCCTTCTTTTCACACTATCTTTGACCCTTTCCACTATTAGGTTTTTCTTCCCTTTTATGTTTAACGTCATAAATAATTTAAAAAGCGAATTGTCTTATTACGACCGTTTATTAAATATCAAAAAGTTCCGTAGATATGAAACTCCACATCAGTTGGAGAGAGGAATAAATCATTTCTTATAAGGGTTTGGAAACCTCTCCTTAGTAGATCCTACATCGGTTGGAGAGGGGAACAAAACATTCGTTATAAGAGTGTGAAAATCTCTCCCTAGCAGATGGAGAAGTTTTAAAAACACTGAGAGGAAACCCAGAAGGGAAAGCCGACAATATCTGCTAGTGGTGGACTTGAGCTATTACATATGGTGCCCCACCAATTCATCCTTTGCCTTCCACGAAAATTTTAGGAGGTCACCTAACATAAAATTGCTTCAAATGAAACATGCTTAACTATGAAGTTTGTACGAAGACAAAAATAAAACATAACTTGAGTGGATAGGCAAGAAACCTTTGACAAATAAGAATCATAAACATCTCAAATCTTATCCAATTATATACCTAATTATCCATAAAATAATTGCTAATAATTGAACAACGAACAATGGGATCATTTAATTTCATCTCATTAGGTACATAATCAAGATGATAATTAATTCTCTTAATTTGTGGGCATTGCTTGTAAGGTAGTCATGATGCCTTAGTTGTAGCTAACATTGACATGATTCAACTTCAAACTCTTGTTTTCAATCATGGAAATCACAACCAATAAAAAAAAAATGTGTCATTACTTGATCAATTAGGAACATATTACATAAGGTTTGCATCAAATTTTGTATCATTATTCAACATTAATAACCATATAATAGCTCATAAAATGCACGTTTATAAGATTAATCTTTTGGGTTCTCTCGAGTTCAGTTGATTGAACCTATTTTGTAACGTCCCAAGTTCACCGCTAGTAGATATTGTTCTCTTTGGGTTTTTTCTTTTAGGTTTTTCCTCAAAGTTTTTAAAATGCGTATGTTAGAGAGAGGTTTTCACACTCTCATAAAGAATGTTTCGCTCTCCAACTAATGTGGGATCTCACAATCCATCCCTCTTTGGGTTCCAGCGTCCTCAATGACACTCGTTCCTATCTCTCTAATTTATGTGGGATCTCACAATGCACCTCCCTTTCAAACTCAGCATCCTTGCTGACACACCCTGATACTATTTGTAACAGTTGAAGCTCATTGCTAGTAGATATTGTTTGCTTTGACCCGTTACGTATTGTTGTTAGTCTCACGATTTTAAAACTTGTCTAATAGGGAGAGATTTTCACACCCTTATAAGTAATGTTTCGTTCCCTCTCGAACTGATGTGGAATCTCACATATTTACTTTCAACTAAGAGATTAGATCTTCAAATCTCTCGTTAATATTGCGTTGAATTAAACTAATAGGCAACAAAATTTGAAAAAGTTGTAGACAATTCTTAAATAATGTAGCCTTTTTCTTGAAGGAAAAGAATTGAAGAGATTGAATGAACTCTTGTTGATCTTGTAGAGTAGATGTTCCCCTAGCTAGCTAGTTCCTAACTCTTTTGACCAATCTTTGATGGGTCCAATTCACTTGATTTTGGAAAATTATTGGCAAAATCTTCCTTGAATGAGTATGATGTTTTCATAAATGCCACGAGCAAACCTATGGCTCATTCAACACACATAACAATCCTCACTTTATATTATTACAATTATATTTCATTAGGGTAGGAATTGAGTTAAAAGATTTATTTCCATTATTATCGTCAATGAAGTGCAACTTTCCTATCGTCGCTTTACCTATTCTACTCAGCAAGTCGCTAGTGATCACTACGATAAGATTTGGGTATACAAAGATCTATATATGAGTACAATAAGTCGGGTATGAGAATTTGAGTCAAATAGGATTCGTGGGATGTCGTAGCTTCAAGCAAACAAGAAATATGAAAAATCAAGTTGCTAGCTTTCGCTTTGTTGTATTGTCCATTCGACTTCTACAAGTAGTACATGGCAATTACCGCTAAGTTATGCTTACTTTGACGAGATTAAAAAAAAAAGTGAAAATTTTCAACTCGAGATTAAAAAAAAAAAAACTTTTTTTTTTTTTTTTTTTTTTTTTTTTTTTTTTTTTTTTTTTTTGTTTTCAAAAGTTAAAAGAGCAAAATGATGGTTACAACTGAACCACTTTTCATATCATAGGAATTAAAATATTGAATATTTAAATTTAAAAATCAAATACAATTCCCACTCCAATTTAATATAAATGACCCTAAAAAAGGGGCAATGGAGGCATAATTTTGTATATAGAATGAGCAAATGATTGAGCTCATCATTAAGCAGACCTCTTATTTCCACTTGGTTGCCTTGAGTTGCACTCTCCATTCAACTTCGACATTAATGATTTCCAAATCCATTAAGATATTGGTTGCTTTCTACATTGAAAAGATTACCCTTTGGTTGCCCTATTGTATCCACCGCTATCAGATATTATCTTCTCTTTGAGCTTTTCCTTTCGAGCTTCCTCTCAAGATTTTTAAAACGTGTCTGCTAGAAAGAGATTTCCACACCCATATAAAGAATGTTTCGTTCCCCTCTCCAATCGATGTGAGATCCCACAATAGCCTTGTTCCTAAGCCACAAGTCATCACTTGAACCTGAACCTCGAACCATTTTGTTCATTCTCTTTGTAACTCTATAAATAAATGCAATGGTAAAGTTCAATCTACTTCACAGAAAGTAAGTTACAAAATGGGTTTCAGAAGGTGGGCAAAGTGAATGAAAGAATGAAATGATGCCTAAAGAACTAATCTGTTCATATACTATTGCTTTCTTTCTAAACCCACCCACTGGAACCAGGAAGAATATGCAATCAAATCAGATAGATATCTTTTCTAAAAATACACGTTCAGAAGATTAAAGGGGGTGAAATTAACGTTATATGGTTGGGAGACTTAACAGAAAACTCCCTGGCGGGCGCTGCTCGACTCCCGTGAGAAACGGGGATTCTCATGCATCATCATCAGACGCTGAAGTAGGGCTCTTTGTACAGCTTTCTTGATTGTGAAGTTCCAGCAATTTCTTTTCTGGATTACATAGTCCTGAAGAATAAAAACATTGATTTTACAGGACAATATTTTCAGAAACCAGCTCAAACTTCTAGTTCATCAAGGCATGCAGAAAATTTACACTATCTAACAATTCTCATCCAATGGTGTAATGATTGATATTGCATTGCAAATAAGCCAATGTTAAATGTCACAGTATAAATTGTCTTTCAAGTTTCACTTGAAAAGTTAGCATTTGATTTGAAAATGTAAAGATCTATCGAATTGATATCCAAGATACTGTTCAAGTTAGCGTACAAGCACCTCAATTATTCTCACCAGACAACTTTTCAATTCCTACCATATTTGGTTGCTAGAAAAACTTGTAGGATATATCCTCGGTAGGTCATCACCGAGGCTTATACTCATTTCCTCTAAGCCATTAATTATTACGTTAGTTCTTATCGACAACTAAGACGACTTATAGTGGTTAGCACAAGTTGCTGGATGATGACAGTATGGTGTTTGATATAGTGGTTAGCACAACAATACCAACCTGAACACTTGGGAATATCCCATACTGCAATAGATGTTGGCGTACAGTCTGGTTCACAGAGTGCTTTTTCGTTCTCGTGATTAACATTCATAGCAAGCATCCAAGCGCCAATTGTTACATCCTCATTGCTGAACATCCGGAAACTACAATTTTCATGAAATTGGACACATTATATACAACACAGAGATTGAAACAGACAACAACAAACCAAAATATCAAACTACTCTCTTTTCAATATCACGACTTGCTTTCTCAGTGACAACCACACAAATGAGAATTTCCATGCGCAGAGAATTTTAGAAATCGTAAATTACCATGGCACGTTTTACTCAAAAATTGCAGACGAACGGAAAAAGAAGAGAGACCAATGCAAGAAGATCAATTTCGACACTAGTATGGTTGATAAAACTTGGAAAGCAATCAACTCAAAGATCTCCATGACAAGTACAGACCAGTAAACTTTGTATTCAGAGTATTACGGAAGCTGGAGATGGGTTTAAAGAACGAAATGAAAATAGGTAACCTCAACACTTGAAGTCCACAAAAAGGTTGAAAGCTTTAGAGAAATAAACTTGCCTATTGTTTTTAAGAGCAACCAAGCTTGCAACAACATCCGCAGAAAGGATATATATTGGACCATAGGCATGAAAAAAATACTCATTCCCAAGCAAAGGAGACAGTGGCTCGTACCTGCAAAAATCAATCAGTATGGACATGTTACTAATCAAACAAAATGGAAGTAATCAATAGGAATCAGCAAAACTCAAATGAAATCTGGAATCCATTGGATAAAAGATGATACGATACCTCTTGCAGTGTTATAAACTATATTAATTTTGGTACATATGCACCATTTTCTCTTGGCTATTGAATGTTATATGTTACTATTACCAACTTACCATTAACACTAGCATACACATCAAGAAATTTAATCAGTAAATTTTTAGTCTACAGCAAAAAGATTCTGATCTATTGTTCTCAAATGGAAGTTATGATCAATCGGAATATTGTTTCCCTCCTATTTTAGCACTTCAGTCCTAGTTTACAGAACAATTTCCTCCTAATCAAATGGCTTAGGGGCTTCCTTCCTGTGGAACAAGATAAATTGTGGCATAACATTCTTGCTAGTACAATTGCTCAGACGTGGTTGAAGTACGGTAATTATAGTTAAAAAGGTCGGTAAGTGCTTGGGGTATTCCACAGTACCACTTCCTCTATCAAACCAAAAATCCATACGGGTGTTGTACTAGTCTTTAAGCTGAAAAATCGAAGAAGGATCAGATTTTGGATCTCTACACAGTCTCTGTGTGAATCTTCTCCAGCATTATTAAGTTTTAGCACAAAAAAATGCCTGATAATGTCTGGGGCAGTGCTCTTATGGGATGGTCCCTTTCATTTAGATATCAGGATAACATTTAGGCTCTTGCTAGTTCATAATTTTTTGTTTGCCTCCCCTCTCCCACCTACCTATTCCATGAGGAGTTTTGTGACCCCAACACCAGTGAATTCCATCCCGAGGTTGAAGGCTCGAAACTTGAACCTCAGCTATAATCACACCGAAAGTCTTGAATCTAACCAACAACACTATGGTGCATGCTTCCCTCTCTTAAACCTTAAGATTTTTAAGTTAACCTAAAATCAAACCAAAGAACAATATATTTGAACTTCCATTATTAGCTTCACACTAATTTCATTGAATGCAGCAGCAATATATTAACAAATAACACATGGGAAAGAAGAGCTGATCTGCTCAGATAAAGAAGTATAGAACACAACAAAATTAGTAAGGTTACATAGAAAAGACCAACAAAAAGAACAGACCATTTCAACTTAGGATCTGTGAAAACTGGGCCTTTTTTCATGCAGCCAATGTAAGTTTGAGGGTGTGAGCGTTCTTTAGCCAGTAGAAGTGAAAGGCGATCTAGCAAGATGGAACCAACTGTATCAAATTCTAAAGATATCATAGTGATCTGCAAATAAAGAATCCGTTTCAAAAAATGAAGTTACCTGGCCTTAAATATATATCATCATCGGCTTTGACGTAAAACTCAGAATCATATAGTGCATATGCAGCTTTAAAGAATGCTAACCTATAATTTAAGAATAAAAGATCAGTCATGCCAAAGTAAAGGGAATCAAATTTTCGCTCGTTCATACTAACGTTTTATAAGGTAGCTTACTATACTCTTCTTCAATATCCAATAGCACAAAATCGTCGTACTCTGCTACCTCCTTTTTGAGTTCCAACATTTTCTCCTTGTCACTTGTCTTTCCAATTATAAACCTGAAAGCTAAGCCAGTGGCTTCTTCCAAACTGGGAGCCACCACTGATGTCAGTGCATAAATTACTACTAGCACAACTATGAATCCAATGAAATACCATATCATTCCCAGAAAGTTGCATCCTGCTAAGTGCATGAATATCCAGAGTTACAAGAAAATCTTGAGCACAAAAGCAAATAGGATCGTTTCTCATCAACAGAACACGGAAAATTTCGATAATGCTGAACTGAGTTTGAAACAGCGTGTGGTGTGTACTAACTTAATGCTATTGCCCAAATCAAGAAAATACAAATACAAGCATAAAGAATTATACAACATTCATCTAGATTCAATTCCCAGGATCCAGATCAGCGCAAGCCTACGAATTCTAGTACAAAATGCCAACCAAGATTCAAAAAACATCCATACTCAACAATTTGAATCACGAACAAGATAGAAACGATACCGTTGAAGCCCTTCCCGATCAGAAGGCAACCATGTCTTCCTCAAAGATCGCCGCCGACCAGCAGATGCAAACCCAGTTTGGATCCCCACAAACCCCATCACTTTATAGCGCTTCACATCGCTACCAGTTCCTCCAGCACCACCACCAGAACCGGCCGCTCTGTCCCAAACAACTTTGACAGTCGTCGGCACACGGTTGGAACAACTATATCCGAGGCGAGGAGTGAAAAAAGAGGTCAGTCCGAAGATGAAACCGGAAATGCCGAAGAGGAGACAAGAGCAGAGAAGGAGCACCGATGATCTGCAAGAGTAGAATGGAGAAGAGGACGAGTGGCGCGCGTGAAAGAGCTTAGTCGAGGAAGGCATGGCGTGAACCTAAGCGTTGAAGAAAGCCCGAATTGAGCTTCGGATTACATCGAATCGAAAGAAAAACGAAGAAGATGAATCATTTTTCTGTGACAGTTTCAGTTTCAGAGACAGATTCCGACTCGGTGGAACTCGAAAGGGTCCCTCTGGTTTTCGGTTGCGGGCGGGGGAAGTGACCTCGATTTTCCTTTTTTATTTTTATTTTTTTTAGTAAAAAATAAGATAATTGATGTAATACTAATTAACCAATATTTTTTTTTTTTAATTTCATAAATTTTATTCCATAAAATTAATGAGTTAAATGAAGGGTGAGTCTCTCTTATTAAATATAAAAATTAAATTTTGTTCTTAATAAATTAAAACTTACCCTAAACTAAAATTTTAATTTTTATAATAGTATTATTTTTAATCAATTTCAACGTAGTTAAATTAGTTTAAAATATTATAGAAATAATAATTATTTTAAATGCATAGATCTTTTTTATTTCATTTTTATAATTATGGAAGAGTTTCTTAAGGTAAATCACGAGCATCAAGCATATGTTATGCCTTGACACGAAGAAAAGGGTAACATGTAACAACCAAGTCTATCACTGCAAATATTGTTCGTTTTGGCCCGTTATATATCGTTGTCAATCTCACGATTCTAAAACGCGTCTACTAAGGAGAGGTTGAGACATAAGCAAGATAGAGACATCAGAATAGACATGAAGAACAAAGATAGGCTTGTTGAAGAGTCGGGTAGGGCCCCGGGCCTTAATCTCAAAAGTCAGAGTTTCGAAAGGAATTTGGGAGGACGACCTTGCTGCAAAGAGACAGCCAAGTTCGAGTGGGGGAGAGTCGAATGAATAGGTCTCTCACCTTATAAAGGTGCTCCAACATGCGAGCACACGTGTATTCCTTGAGCCATCACCTTGCGCCCTTCCTCTCCAACCGAAGTAGGATCTCACAATCCCCCCCAACGTCCGCTAGGGAGAGGTTCCACAGCCTCATAAGGAATATTTGCTTGGGAGAGGTTCCACACCCTCATAAGGAATGTTTCATTCCTCTCTCCAACCGATCTCCAACCGATATGGAATCTCACAACCCACCTCCTTGAGGGTCCAACATCTTCATTGGCACACCGCCCAATGTCTGGCTCTGATACCATTTGTAACGGTTCAAACCCACCGCTAGCCAATATTATCCGTACTAAAAAAAAAAAAAAAAAAAAAAAAAAAAAAAAAAAAAAAAAAAAAAAAAAAAAAAAAATCAATGAAAGGTTTAAGTAAGCATATGCAAGGAAAACAGTTTTGTTTATATAGGATGATCAGATTTGATCTCTCTTAATGATGATGCTGTTTTCAAGCTACAAAAAGATATGCTTCATCATACATACATACATACATACATACATACATAACCTGATGATCCTATCCTACCTTCAAAAAAACCAAACTTGGTCATTCACTCCCCATCTTAGAAAATTCATGTTCACTGGACAGCTTTCAAAAATGGTCCTGCAAACTCCTTTCCTCTTTTAACTCTACTCCTCTCTCTCTCTCTCTAACCTTGTTTTTACCTAAAAGTTTGAACACCAGGTTCTACAAATCCCGTCATACCGACTGCACGAACTCCATCCCAGCTCTTTCCTTCTGAAAGCTGAACGTCACGTTCCGTGCCAACGACTTCTACTTCTAACGATTCATTCCCCTCGTGGATGTGTGTTTCGCTTGCTGCACCAACTTCGTCAGTGCAACACTTTCCATCAGATTGTTCTTGTACAGACTGAATAGATTTCTGTCCTGAACAAGTATCCATTTCATTTGTTGTTGTCGATGGACTCATCGGAGCTGGATTCCCTTCGCAATCGTCCATCGTCTTTTCACCATTCTGTTCTTGCAATTCTTGATACATTAAACGTTTCATTTCCGTTCTAGAACATGCTTTTTCAGAATCACATTCTTGTTTCGAATCGGTGTCGAGTTGTACTCCTGAACGAATTCCTGGTTTAGTTGATTCGTTCGAGTTAAATTAATATAGCAGATGAGAGTCTAGTATGGGGAACAAATGACACTTGCCTTGTGTTGTCTCTGTATTTTGGCCACTTACATACAAGGCCTTTTTTAGTAGTAATGTTCCAGGAAACACCATCAAATTGAACCTGTGAAGACTATGTTTCTCATCATCTTCCACAGGTATGAACCCAAAACCTTCAGTCCATGTCTCTACTAGACTAGGAATTGCAGCTATCACAAGCTTTTTCACCTTAAAAGACAATAGCATCTAGAACGCCCACAAAAATAACGACGTAAGGAGACTTCGACAGAAGTGTTACGACCAGCATGAATATGAACTTTCAAACAACTAAGTGACCAGAGAAGACCCGAAAAGCATCGCAATAGCGGACCAGGAAAAATACCTCTTCTATAGCATTCAGTAGGCGCCTACACATTCCCTGGCGACGATATTTACTACACGTTGCAATCAGGGGCATCTCGGCCAGTTCTGATCCATGTACCCTGCAACAAGAAAGTCCGAATAAAAGTGGAGAATATCTACATGTATAATTGTAATAGATCACAAACAGTTAGAACCGTCTAATCCAATACCGAAAATGCTCTTCGAGAAAGCAATAAAAAGTACAAGCTCAAAAAGTTACTAGTTACTACTAAGCCATCAAGAATCACACAACAAAATCGACACAATTTTGTCTTTTTTTAATATCCCCGAATGTTCGGAAAGCTTGGAAAGCTTGAGCACACCTCAAATATTCTCATAGGGCTGTTTGTAGTTCCTACTAGTATCTATTAGTATCTATTAGTAAGCTATTCAAGGTAGGCAATCCATTCAAGCTAGTTATAGCCCGTAGTCTAATATGTCAATAATCGTAGGCTAATGGTACAAGCAATAACCCTCTTCAAGCCTGGTAGCATGGTGGTTAATATTGTTATAAAAAGGAATAATTTAGGGTACCTGATAGAAGCTACACATAGCAGCACATCATCTTTCTCTAGTATTACGGTGTAAAATCCATGAAAGTCGAGACGAGGAAAACTAGACCTGCACATCACATCAGACAACAGAAAGAATTTTTGTATAGCTATTTCTGTGAATGATTTAACAGATGAGGAACCAGAAAACTGCCAACCAAAACAGGTACTTGGCTAGGCAATAGCAACTTAAATGAAACTATTGAGTTATAAACATATTCATTGTCTTAAACACTTGCCACAAAATTTAACAAATGAAATAATAAAGAAAGAAAGGGTTCTCAAGGCTTCACCCACTTTCTGGCCAATATATATATATAAACGACCTTTCTTTGAGAGAAAATGAAAGAATACACAAGGATCCAAAAGGTCAAGCCTTCAAAAGGGACCCCAGTAAAGAAGGGCTCCAATTGTGCAAGATCCTAACAGACCAACTAATGAAGGCAACTTTCTCTAAAGCCGATCAATAGTGTTAACTCGTCCGTGTAAAGCCCATCAGATAAAAGAACTTAACCTTTGTTGGAACCTTAATCTTCTGTTGAGCAGAAAGAAAATTCCTAACAGGAGAAGGGACCATCAAACAACGAAAGAATGAACTGCAGAGAGGGTTAAGACTCCAAAAACACACATACCTCCTCCCAAGCCTAAACTCCACTCCCATCAAAGATAAGAGAGTCATAACATCTGCCGACGATGGAAACCGAACACAAAGAAAAAAGAGCTCCCATACTAGACCAAAGTTTCAACCACAACGATTTTTTGAGGATAAATGATAAAAGATGAGGAAACGTAGTGCAGAAGGTTCGACCTCCTACACACTCATCCTCCCAAAAATAAGTTTCCTTACCATCCCCCCTGCACAATGCAGAGGGATCTATCTTCTACTCTTTGTGGGGGTGTTGGATAAACTCAAGGCCAAAATGGCAAAATAAAGAAACATATTCCCATTTCTAAAGGAGACGGGCTCACTTTGGGTCAATTAGTTCTTCCTTACTGTTTCTCTCTTTTCAAAGTCCCTACAAAATTCCTTGGACCCATGGATTGTATTTGTGAGATCCCACGTCGGTTGGGAAGGAGAACGAAGCATTCTTTATAAGGGTGTAGAAACCTCTCCCTATCAGATGCGTTTTAGAAAACCTTGAGGGGTGATCCAAAAGAAAAAGCCCAAAGAGGACAATATCTACTAGCGTTGGGCTTGGGCGTTAAAGTATTAGAACTTCATTTGGAATGTTGCTTGAGCTGTTAAAGGTGGGCCTTGTTGGTTTCCTCTAGTTTCAGGCCGTCTTTGAGTAGAATCTTTGAAAGAGGGGAATAACGCTTCTCCTTGCTTGGTTTTGGCGGTTTATTCACAACGAAAATGCTCTTTGTACAAAGGTATTTCCCACGGTGCTCCATTCAATATAAAAAGTAAGTTTCTTATCAAGAAAGAAAAAGAAGGTACTAACTTCCAGCTGTACACCAGATGTGGTATCATATCAATTCCTGTTCTTGGATCTACCATGGATAAAAAGCATTCCTCCATGATGGTAAGAGCCACTACTAATCTGGAATTGCACTCTGCCATCATAGCTAAGCGTGAGGTAGACAGAATTTTCTGTTCATTATGAATGCATCTAAGAAGCATCCATGAAAACCCGTTTGCAAACTGATTAATCAATCCAAGTCGTGATTGAAGACCAGCGTAAATCTGCGCACATCAGTGAACGACATTATGTAAACAATCAGAATCAGTAAAATCGACAATAGATGCTCACAACCAGGAAAAACTATGTAAATAAAGAAGAGTAATGCAAAAAGACCTTCTGGCAACTCGCGCTACAAAACCAAAGATGAGATCCTACTCCCGGATCGATGTCTTTTTGTTTCAGGCATTGCCCATGATCTGTTTAAACAATTATTTGTTAGAAGGATGAGATACCCCATGTTCAGGAGTTCCCTCATAAGAAGAACTCAAAGCTCAAACAGCCAACGATTAGATACTAAGATTATCATTGATGAGTCAATAGTGTTTCCACTACAAGGAAATTAAATGAAGTGTTTAGCCTATAAGAAAAATAGGATTTCACTGCTCTAAAAAATAACCTTAATAAAATTTATATGAAAAAAAGGAACATAGGGACCCCTTACAAAATAAATGAATTACAGGGTGAATTCATGCAGCAATTTTACCCTTCTTGCAGTTCTTTTGAGATATATGATTTACTACAGATATGAGGATTTTGAAGACAGGGCTCTATAATGGAGAGTCTATGATTCTTCTGCCAAGTTATGGTCTTAGGAGCAGAAGCAACGAGAAGTTCTCAAAGCATCTGTTCACCACTTGCATGCACCCTGCTAGACATTGTTAGGAACAAGAGACCTCCACAATGATATGATATGGTCCACTTTGAGCATAAGCTCTCTTGGGTTTGCTTTTGATTTCTCCTAAGGCCTCGGAGATAGTGTTCCTTATATACCTATTATTTTTCCCTTACTTAACCAATGTGAGACTTCAACAATCCTCCCCTCGAACAAAGTATCATTGACTCCCCCCTTAAATAGTCATTTATCCATCTAGCACTATCCAGTCGTTCTTTTCTCGGGAGCATATTGCTAGTCCAATAGAGTTCTACCACGGATCTTAACTATGACTACACCTTCGAGGTTCACAACTTCTTTGTTTAACAAATGAGGATTCTATTGACATGGCTAAGGGTATAGACCTCCACAATAGTATGATATTGTCCATTTGAAACACTGTGTGCGACAAACATGACAGTTTTCTGCTAGGATAAAGGCCGTAAACTGGTCATCGAATTTCAAGTTCCAAAAAGAGTAATTTATGTAATTAGGACCTAACTATGGTACTTGCAGCTCCTCTGCTTTTTGTTTGCCTCCTTTTAGCAGAAGACAATATGTATGCTGCCCTACAATAAACAAATTACAGCTCTACAAAATTCAACAATCTACCGTCTTAGGAACGCTTTGTCGATTTCTCAAGGAAATCCAGTAACGGATTATCCCTGCAGAAATCGGCATGCAAGATCAAAAAACATAAAGAAAAAAAAATTAATCAAATGCAATAAAAATAAACATAAACAGTTCTAGGTAGGCATAGGAATTACACTTTTGCTCGCACTGGGAACATTTTAGTGCATCAGAAGAACTTGAAGTCTCTTCATAATTCACCAGACCACCACATGTCCGGCAAGTACAGTTTAAACAATACCAGTTGCCTTCAGGGAGTTCCTAAAGTTTAAGAGTTATATAGACTTTTTATTGATTATAAAAATTATAGAAAACTGAAAATTAACCGATATCAAAAACCAGCAATCTCAAACTCAATCGCTTAAGAAGAAAAAAGTTACAATGAGATTCTTACACTTCGAAGGAATGTAGAGACAAACCTGAATTGACAAACAAGAATGATGGAATGTGGAGGGGCAATTATCACAGCATATTAGCTCTCCACCATCGCCACAAATCCCACATGAATCATCATTTCGATCATCTTCATCAACTTGAACTGTTCGGGTTTTACTTGTCCTTGTCTTATACTCAGTTGACCAGGCCTGAAGCTGGCACAACATGAAAGGCCTCCCAGAGTCCAAGAAAAGATTCAAACATGGGCGATTAAATTTGAAACCGGCATGACATTTAAATTCAGATATTGTGAGTAGCTCACTGCAGCAATTGCAGATGATGCCGTCTCCAGTGATTCTACCATATTTAACCACACTGTCATCCTTGGGGCTTTGGTATTGGATTATATCATTTGAGGATATAACCCCAGCATCTAGCAACCATGACAATACTGTTCTAGCCCCAATCGCATACCACTTGCCATCTTTATAATTCTTTTCCCCATTACCCAAGCTTCTTAGGAGTAACTTACAACTCCTCTTTTGACTTTTGCAGTTCATTTTTGCTCTAGATTTTAAGTATTTTCTTATATGGGAAAATCCGATAGCGCTTGAGTTGACATCTTTGTTTCTAATTATGGCCGAAACTAATAGGTCGTCATCTTCAATTTGACATTCATTCAATTTCTTCTTTCTGGTTTTTGAACCTCTAAGACTGTCAAATTTCTTTTTGAACTTTGAACCTTTCCTCTCAGAATGGCATGAAATAGGACTGAGAAACGAGCTCTTCTCATGACTGTCCACGTTTTTAGTATCAGCTATATGGGACTTCTGGTCTTCTATCATGTCCAACTGAGTGCAATCAGTTTTCTTTCCTGGAGTCGTACTCACAATATTGATCTGCGGTGGCAAGGTAGGGTTAATTTCAGATATCTTTTTACATTTTCGACGCCCTTTCTTCTTCAAAGTAGAATGTATGGCAGAAACTTTATTCTCTGTTTTGAACTTTGACGCTGAAAAGTGCAGCCCACCTTCTTCATTTTGTGTCGACTTCTCTACAACCCCTGAGGCACAAGAATGGGATAGGTCATCACTTGTATAGTTTGAATAGTCATTCAGAGATTCTTCCAAACTATTTTCCGCCTTATCATCGAGTGGGACTTCCACTTTTTTTTCTTCTCCTAGGGAACATGTTAGTACATTTTTCACCAATTCATTAGGCTTTTCAACTTGATTTTCAGAGCTGTGTTCATCCAAACAATGCAATGTACTATCCTCATCAGGAGATGTAGTGCCAGAAATTCTGACAACATTGTCTGAATTTCCAGATGGAACAGGACAGTCCGCCAGACATCTAGGTTTGCAAGTTAAATCCTCACTGTCTATCTTGCATCCAGTTTCATTGCAATGACTGCCCGTGCAATTTGGAACATTCGCCAAACTGGGGACATAATTAGACACCCTTGTCGAAAGTTTCATTGTTCCATCTTCTGTATGCCCGTAGTAATTCGAGAAAATTGTATCACAGGTTTGTTCATCAAAAGCACAATTGCCTCCATCAAGATCTTTTAACACGGCTTCTGTCAATGCACTCTTGGCAGATGGTGATTGTTCACGTAGCGGTGATGCACTTTTGTCAGCAGATAGACTACAAATACTACTATCTTCATTTGTTAATGTCACAAAAGTATCGGTCTTATTGTTCCCATTAACCCCAATACTACAAGTAGCTCTAACTAAATCTCCCTTCCTAAGTGTACCGATCTTTCGGTAAATGAACACAACTACCACATAGGGATCTAGAATAACCCAGCAATGAGCCAATGAAGTTGTACCTCCTAATTGATTCATTTCCTTCCCGACCTGTAACAACGTGTCAGAAAGATCAAACAAGAATTGATGAATGCCAGTCCATTCCTTGCTGCCAACTTCCTTAACGAAACTACATCTATCAGCAAAGAGGAGTTCACCACAAACCCTCCAAGCCTTGGAAAATTCACGAATCGTCCTTCCCTGGGGTGATCTATAAACTGTTTCCATATAACGCCTACAAGGTCTTTTGACCCTTTCGATAGACCATCCAGCTGCAATAAATAGGTGAACGACATGATAGTGGAGAAGAGGACGGGGATCTCTTTTCAAATCTGTCATCAACGAAGTGTCCAGTTCTGGACATTGAAGTTTCATTTGTCCTACCACCAGTTGTAGTGGAGATCCGAACTGCTCGTTATTAGAAGGACTTGCAACCAACAGCCTGGTCATGGAGCTCTCTTGGGAAACAGGCGAAGCACTAACTTTATCCACCATACTCGGTTCATCATTACCTTCTAAATTTAACGATGTTCGTTTGGAGGCATCGGGTTCACCCCGGTTACTGTCTCTTTCTACAAAGTGCTTTAGCAGATAGCAACTTGAAATAATACCCCGTCTAGACGATTCTACAATGTGAAACGTAAATGATTCAGAATCACAAACCTCAGCCGGACAGCAACTAGTGGAAACAGGTTCTCCTCTAATATCTGATGATTTCATAACCATAACTAGCTCAGGTACAGAATCAGAACGTTCATCAGGTGAACGTTTCATTCGTTTGACACATGCATTCTCATCATTTCCTTCCACTGGAATCCATTTGCATGGAAAACTATTAGGAGCAGAACTCGTCCTAATATTCTCAGTAGCATTGTAACATTCATCGAGCTTTATATTCCTCGAGTATAAATGACTGGACACCGTCGAGAGTTCACTACTTGAACATAAAGATGCATCATTAATCTTACAAAGCCCATGTTCATAACCAAATGCATCGCGAGGACACCTCTCATTGGAACGACTAGCACCGTTCCCAAAGAAAACTTCCTTAAAGATAATCTCTTCATTTGGAGATCCCTCAAAGCCATCATCCTGGAAATCCATAAGAATGGATCAGAAGCCTTCTTAAGCTAACAACCCTCACTTATCCACTTTATGTAAACACTACTTCAAAAGACAGGACCTGTAACATAAGAAATCAAACCTTACTTAAGAGCATTTAGATGAACAAGAATTGCTACTTAAATCAGCTCCAAAAGAAGGAATGCAAGCCACATATCATCGAACATTGAATGTGGATACAAGATAGTGAAAGCAATTGAAATGATATCAGTTTCTGTGTATAGGCCTACGTTCTTCGATCCTCAGCTTTTCAAATAGAATAGAATATAGAACGAAACGAACATGCATGAGCTGCCCATTTCCAGCAGGTACTTATGTCAAATTCTCTATTCTAAATCAAAGCAATTAACTCATAAATCATTCAACTACATTACCAGATTCCAGAAATCCGACAAACGAGAAGAACAGAACAAATATTTTTAAAAAACCCCGTTCATACCCATTTGCAGAAATCTCATACGGCCAATTGTCAAGAACCGCATGAATCTCATCTCTCCCCACATTCATCCATTTCTAGCTAAATCAAAAATGCATACAGCATCAACATGCAAATGGAATCAAGAATCGAATTAGGGTTAAGAGATTTCAAAATGGAAATGGGTATGGCACCGATTTGAGGGAAGTCGAAGGGAGAATCGGAGCAGCGATTTCCCTGCGCATCATCATCATCATCGTCGTCATCTGCAGTAGCTTCTTCAGGGTTGGTCACCGAGCCATGAAAGCAAGAAAGGTTTGAGAAAGGGAACAGTTCCCCCAAGTACAACAAATGGCAAATCCCATCCCTTTTCTCTCACCAAGACCGTTTCTTCTCGCCCCTTTTTATCTCTCTTCCGCCACTCGTGTTTTCCCCCCATTTTTGGGGATTATTTTATAAACCCCAAAGCTTTTGATTTCATCTTCATTCGCACTGAAACTCATTGGATTGACAAAACCCACCTCTTTATATTGTGAAATTGTAATGATTTTGGGTTTGATCGAATGATTTCGGGGTTCCTTTTTGGGTTTTTGATTATGATTATTATATCCAATCGGGAGTTTATCAAAACTATTGGAGATAATTGGATTCAATTATTTCATTTCCACCAAAATGCTTGATTTTCAAGGTTGAATGTTTCTTCTTCAAAATTGTCTCTAATTATTGGAAAAGGAAGAGAAAAAGGGCTGATTCTTTTCGAGAGATGGTAAAAGTTCTTCGTTATTGATGTTAAAATAATATCACAGCACTTTATATTACTCAAATTTTGAAGCTTTTTTACAACACCTAAAGTAAGAGGGGTGTGATCCATACTATTGGCATGAGTATCAGATCGAAAACCAGCTGTTTTTTTTTTTCATAGCCGTTGAACTGTAATCGTGTTAATATTTTGAATCAGCTTGAAACGTAACATTATTAGTAAATAAATTGGTTACATTTTTAGCCGTTAAATATTCAAATATTCACTCGTGTTGGAAATATAAACAATATTGTACCTGTTTTTCAATCATTTGATGCTGCTAAAAGCAAATAAGGACAAAACTACTGTTAATCAACGTCAATTTAAAAATAATCGGCCAAATAAGATATTTATTATCATTTAAGTGAGCCATGTACTTTACTTTCTATGTATGAACTAAAAATAATGAATAAATTAGAATTTTTTTCACGGTAGAAAAGATATTTATTGCTCTTTTCATTTTGTTTGTAATTTATTTAGTTACGTAAATGATTATAAATGAAGAATTTTTACCACCAAGTGGGATGGTTTTAGCAAATATTTGCATTGTATCAGAGCTAGATACTAGTGGTGTGCTAGCAAGAATGTTGGGCTCCCAAAATGGTCGATTATGAGATCAAACATTAATAAGTGTGTGGAAATTTCTCCCTAAAAGACGCGTTTTAAAATCGTGAGGTTGTAGACAATAGGGCTAAAACATATATATTTGCTAACAGTGAGTTTGGGTTGTTACAAATTGTATCATAAGCAGACATAGGCAGCTTACCACCAAGAACACAAATGGTGAGATCCCACATTGGTTGGAGAGGAGAACGAATCATTTCTTATAAGGGTATGGAAACCTCTCCCTAGTAGACATTTTTTAAAATCCTAAGCTTACTGCGATACGTAACCGTGATGCGGAGGGCGCCATACAGAGAAAAGGATCGGCGTCGGGGTTTAGCTCATGGCGGGTTCACTCAGAAGTGAAGGAGCCGTGGGCCGAAGCCTTGCACAGTTCAGATGGCACGAACGTCATCCTCGTACCCTTTATTGGACATTGGGCCCAATACCTTTTGGGCCTGATGCAACTAATTCAAGTCCGGCCCAATTTGTAAAGTTTGTTGGGCTAACGGTTTGAATAACTTTACTAATTTAATATTAATATTTTATTGTTATGAAACTTATATTAATTTGATAGAACTAAACTTATTTTAAAATGAGATACTTATATGGTTAATAATATTTATTTTAGAAGATTATATTTATAAATTATTACAATAGAAAAAAATGAAAATAAATTATATAATTTTATTTATTTATATTTATATTTAAAAAATGAACAATTATTAAAAAAAATTCAATCCCATTAATCATTCATTTGGATAAGTTAAAAAAACAATAATGTATTGAAAAATGTTAGTCCACAAGCAAATGAAAGCCTCTCACTTTCATTACAACCATACATAGTGATGACACAAAATTAGAGTTACTCTCCATCTCTCTATTTCTTCTATTCATTTGCACGTTTTCGATACAAATTCTTCGACCACAAATGTTTTCTTCGTGTTCTGGGGCTCCCTCGTCTTCTCTCGTCAATTGGGTTTTGACCTATACAATTGGTTCGAGAATGATATAGGCCCAAATAAAGCCCATTATCGTTCGTTGCTTGTAATGGATAAAATTTCTAGTGCTACGGTAGTATCAGAACTCTTCTATACTACCTGCATTAACGATTTGTCGTAAAAGAAGAATTTAAGAACGAAATGAATATGTACTATTTAGGGTTGGGATGAACTTTTGGAATCCCGACCAACCCAGATCATCTAACCAAACTATAAAAACTGGGTTGGGTTGAATTTTTGAAAAAACATAAAATTTGAATTGGTTTGCCCGTTGACATTTTTTTTGTTGGGTCAACCCAATCCAACTCTATTCTGTTTTTAAGATTATTATGAATATTAAGAATATTTGACATTTGTCACTGATGTTAGTGATGAGTTATAACTTTATGTGATTTAAGTATTAATGTAACATGTACGGTGGATAAATATGATTGTTTTAAATAATTAAAAAAAGAAGAACAACCCGACAATCCCACCCGAAAAATAGAAGGGTGAGTAGGGTTGGAATGTGAACTCTGTTCGGGTTGTTCGAGTTACCAATCCAACCAACTCAAAATCTTGAATTGGTCTAAAAGATTTGTATAATCGAACCGTGTACACCCACGACTAACTTTCTCTCCTTTCTATGAACGATATCCACACGTCCCGATCTTTTTTTACCCATAATCTCATAAAACATGATTTGAGTACAAATGTCAACCAATGGTTATGATGTTCTCAAACCAACACAATGAACCATAAAAAGGAAGTTTCAAATGGATTCATTTTGGGTGTCTCAAGAAAACAATAATAACAGGAAATTAAAGCAATTTATAATAATGCAACTTTGAGGCCAACCCTTTTGGGTAAATGTGTTGTAGCTAAATAAATAAGCTTATTGGATATCAATTGTAGCTGAAATCAGACAAAATCATTAATGCTATGTTCATTAGTCCAACATAGTTGTCGGGTGGCTGGAATGCCCTTAATTAAGGGTTGAAAACTTTTGTTGTTAAATTTAGACGTCCTAGCTAACAAGGCATTGCAGTATGGTCAAGTCGACTTCGAAATTTAGGATGGGAAGTGATAAAGAATCACTAAAGGAAAGTAAGATTCAGATTATCTCGTTGATCGAACATCTCAAGGTAAGAACATTTTTTTGAAATTCGAATCACTCCACAAGTAAGATCGATCATGTCTAGCTTGAATGATTCTAAACTATATAAAATTGCAAAGAAACTTAGCTCTTGGCTAAAGTAGAGCACAAATGTTCATTTTACTACATTTTTCAAGTCTTCTTGCATGTAAAGACAACATACATGATCTTATATAGCTTCAAAATGGAAATCCTTAACCTTACCCGAGACATTTCAAAAGTTGTAATCTTAAAGAAATACAGAATTTTATGGGTAAAATCCTTGAACAATAATAACAACGATAACGATAAGAGAGAAAGAAATGGTCGTTAACTGAACTATGAAAAACGTCAAATAACGAGAAACTTATTGTAACCTACTGCTAGCAGATATTGTGAACTTTTCCTTTTCAGACTTTCCCTTTGCTTTCATTCTCCTCCCCAACCAATATGGGATTGTGGGATTTCGCAATCCACCCCCTTCGAGGTCTAGCGTCCTCGCTGACACTAGTTTCTTTCTCCAATCAATGTGGGACCACCACGAAATCCACCCCCCTTCGAGGCCCAGCATCCTTACTAGCACACCACCTCGTGTCTACTCTCGTTTAGGGCCCAACGTCCTAGATGACACATTGCCTCGTGTCTACCCCCCTTCGGGGCTCAGCCTCCTTGCTAGGCACATCGCTCGGTGTCTGACTCTAATACCATTTGTAACGACTCAAGCTCTATTTGGACTTTCTCTTTTCGAGCTTCCCCTCAATGCTTTAAAACTCGTTTCTTAAGAAAAGGTTTACACACCAGTGTTTTGTTTTCCTCCCTAACAAATATGGGACGGTGGGATGTCACACTTATTAAACTACGTGCTTAAATATATATTAGAAGATTTTATTAATTATTAGTATGAATAATAATAATGGAAAAAAATGGGTAATTAATAAATACGAAAGAAAATGTCCCCAAAACAGCCAACCCTCGTGTAGGGCATGAAAGCACCTTCTCCCCCGACATATGTCCGCCGCAATTAATCCCTTTTGCTTTCCCACAAATTAATTTTTTTATTATTATTTTAAAATAAAAAATAATTATTGAAATTTAATAATATTTCTTATATATTGATTATGGACGGCGAATGATCTCAACATACACGGGGTGTGGGCATGCGGGAGAGCCGACATAGTGATGCGAGCAGAGGTAGTTTGTGGACGACATGTCGGTTCAAATTAATTCAAATAAATAAGACAATAATTATAATTCTAAATCTTTAGATTTACGTTAACTTAAGACGTGTTTTATTTTAAGCTGTTTTTTTTTTTCTTTTCATAATTTAATTAATTTTAAATTTTTGGAAAGTGTTTATATGAATTCAAAATGAATAATATTAGAAATTGGTTATTATTATAATTTAAAAATAAATGTATTAATTTGAGTAAAAAACAAAGACATGATGGCGCTGAGTTGGGCAGAGCATTGAGTGTGGCAAACGGCATTATCAGGCTGCTTCCCTTTGGTCGCTTCATTGCTTCTCAAAAATATATTTTTTCTTAAAAATAAATTATGAAAATTGACGTCATAATTATATAAATTTATAATTTTTTCTTTAATTAATGAATGTGAGACTAATTCTACGCCAATTTTTTTCATGTTCTAAAACATAGGAGGTGCACATAAACATTTATTTAATAAAAAAAAATATCCTATTTCTGTATAGGTATAAGGGTGTGGAAACTTTTGACACGCGTTTTAAAAACCTTGAGGGAAAGCACGAAAGAGAAAATCTAAAAAAGACAATATCTGCTAACTGTGAGCTTGGACTGTTACAAATGGTATCAAGTCTGACATTGAGCAATGTGTCAGTGAGAATGTTGGGCCCCAAAGAAGAGTGAATTATGAGATCACTCATTAGTTGGAGAGGGAAACAAGTATCAACGAGAACGCTGGGCCCTAAACGGGGGTAGATGGTAAGATTACACATCAATTGGAGATGAGAACAAATATCAACGAGGACGCTAGGCTTTGGACAATGGTGGATTATTTGATCTCGCATCAGTGAAAACCTCTCCTTAACAGACTCATTTTAAAAAATTTGAGGGAAAGCACGTTGGGCTCTAGACAGGGTGGATTATGAGAGATCCCAAATCAGTGAAAACCTCTCCCTAGCAGACGTGTTTTAAAAACTTTGAGAGAAGCACGCTGAGCTCCAGACATGATGGATTATGAGGTGCCACATAAGTGGGAATTTCTCCCTAGGAAACGAATTTTAAAAACTTTGAGGGAAAACATATTGAGCCCAGACAAGGATAGATTATGAGATCCCACATTAGTGGAAACTTTTCTCTAACAAACGCGTTTTAAGAACTTTGAGGAAAAGCTTGAAAGAGAAAGGCGAGAGAGGATCATATCGGGACGAGTAATGTAAATAAATATTAAAGAATTATTTGAAATATTAGGCATGAAAATGTGTAAACTTGAAAGGGAAGACACATTTTTTTGTCATCATCTCATTAATTGTAATCATGCTTGCTAACCAAGCTAACCCAAACAATTACCTTTTTTTTTTCTTTTTTCTTTAAATAAAAATATGCCTATATTATTGTATTATTATTATTAATTTGTCCATCCCATCATAAAGAAAACCAAGTATAGAAATTCTAAGGGCCACAGATTTTCTTTTTTAATTAAGATGGGATATCATTTTCTTTTCTTTTTTTCAATAATAATAATAATAATTTAATATTTAAGACAAACAAATTGGGAGGCATCCAAATAAATTAAATAATTTAGCAATTATAGAGGAAGGTGTAAATAAATAAATCAATAAAAAAATAATAAATAAAGCTATTAATTGAAAATAATGTAAAATACCCTTTCTCTCCATCATTAATTATTGAAACCCTTGCATTAGTATATCATACTTTTCGATTAATGCCACGTGGCCCCACCAAGCACAACCCAAAAATGAAACTCTGTGAGCGGCCGCACCCTAGACTACCTCTTTCACTTCCGTACTAGCTCGACTCCCAATTTTTTTTCCTTCCGAAATCGAAATGACATAATTACCCTTCCAATTTCTCCGGAATAACGTGATTACCCTTTCGTCAATCTTATCTAATCCCTGTTCTTTTTCCTTTTTTTTTTTTTCTTTTATCTCATTATTTATTATCTTAAAATAATAATAATGTTTCTTTGATCAGATAGAATTATGAAATTTGATTTAAAATATAAAGATTTTGTAGAATATTTTATAAATCCATAATCATTTTTTGTAATATTTTATTTAAAAAAATTTGTGACAGTCTAAGTCCACCACTTAGTAAATATGGTAATCTCGAGATTTTTTCTTAAGGTTTTAAAACGTTTTTGCCAAGGAAAGATTTTTATTTCGTTCTAACCAATGTGGGATCTTACAATTCACTTCTTCGGGGGCCAACATTCTGCTGACACACCACCCAGTACCCGAATTAGTTGATAGCTTATATTCAAAATCCGCACTTTCCATACCACCACTTTGTTTCTCATTCATAGCTTAAACCAATGCTTAAAAAGCAGCTTAGTTCTTTCTTCTCTCTCCTCAGTTCTCATTTAAAATTTAATTCAGAGGAGGAGAGAGAGAGGAAAGAATTTGATTAAAAATTTACAGTCCATACAGTACAAGAACAGTGAGAGAAGGAAAGATCCAAAGAAGGAAGGAAAGGACAAGTAAACGAAGTGGGCAAGAAACAAGAAACGGGATGGGAATTGGGTCTCACCTACGCCATCTTTTCTGCACCTTTCTCTGCTTTCCATGGCGTCCAAAACCTGAAAAAGCCAATACCCACATGGAAAAAAGAGCATTTTGAAAGGGAAGGGGCCGGAGAATTGAGCCACAGCCCATTGACTCAGATTTTGTATCAAACCGCCCTGCCCTGCCCTGCCCTGCCCCGCCCCGCCTCCCTCGACGTCGACATCCAAGTTCTGGGCCTGATCAAAGCGTTTGCTACACCCATCCGTGTGCTGCAGCAGCAGCAGCAGCAGCAGCAGCTAGCAGGGTCTGGTCCCTAATTCAACCAGACAGCATTAATCTTGATATTGAACTAATCCCTTTCACTACCTGTCTTCAATAAATATTCTGCCAATGAAGTCTCTGAACCGTTTGGAGTAGAGTTTAGGATCAACAGCTGAGATTGAAGTGGGGTCAGCTTGCAAGGACTTGTATGCGTGTTCCAGTTTCTTGGTTATGTCGTAATCTTGTAAGATGTCAATGATCCCAAAGTAGAGGACTATTTCATAGATCTCTCCACTGCGAGATGGGGTTAGATGGTTCATTCCACCTGGGGTGTACTGATCGAAGTCGCTACGCCGAGCTAATCGCTCGGCTCTTGCTGGCATGTTAGATCCTAATCTGATCAATGACTTCCTGATAACAGAAAATGATAAACTATATCAGTGTATGAATGTGTTTTGTGGTTTGTGGTTCGTGGTTTACTACTACATGACATGGTTGTACTAATCTACAATAAGTTCTTGCCCCAATGGTGAAGAAAATAATAGACAAAAGGTTAATACAATGGAGAATCATTGATTACAAAGTGTCATAATTATCCTCAACTGCCAAAAACCAATTGGATTGAGCAAAAAAGAGCTCGTAATTATGGGGAAAGAGACTAGGACCATAAAGTGTTTGTCCTGTAACAACCCACACTCACTGCTAGTAAATATCGTCCTCTTTAGGCATTCAAAACGCGTCTGCTAAGGAAAGGTTTCCACACCCTTATAAAGAATGCTTATGTGAGATCCACATCGGTTCGAGAGGAGAACGAAATATTCTTTATAAGGGTCTGGAAACCTCTCCCTAGCAGAGATATCATGAAAGGGGAAGCACAAAGAGGACAATATCTGCTAGTGGTGGGCTTGGATTGTTACAAATGGTATCAGAGCCAGACACAGGTGATGTGCCAACAAGGAGGCTGAGCCCAAAAGGGGGTGGACACGAGGCGGTGTGCCTGCAAGGACACTGGCCTCCAAAGAGGGGTGGATTGGGGAGTCCCACATCGATTGGAGAAGGGAAGGAGTGTCAGCGTGGGCTTAGGTAGTAACTTCGAAAGGGAAAGCCCAAAGAGGACAATATTTGCTAGCGGAGGGTTTGGGTTGTTACAGTTTCGTTCCCCTCTCCAACCAATGTGGAATCTCACAATTCATCCCCTTTGGAGCCCAGTATTCTCATTGGCACTCGCTCCTCTCTCCAATCGACGTGAGTGTCCTTGCTAGCACACCGCTCAATGTCAGACTCTGATACCATTTGTAACCTACTAAAAACTATTACCTACTAAATAGCCCCATGATGTGGTATAGACAACCCATGTCACCCATTTATCAGAGAAAAACAATACAATTCATTGCAGAAATAATTGATACCCCAATAGTCCCAAATTTATGGCCAACATTAATCATCACATGCTCTTTAATATTCACTCTTAGATGAGTTCATAGGAGTAGAAACGCACCGTCCAGATAAGACTCGGTCCATATCTCGTAACTCCGCTTCAAGGAAACGATGACCAAGCATAAACTTCTCATTCTGGTATGAATCTTTATTGCCTGCAAACACCACAGGTCTTCTAAATCAGTATTCAAATGCGTCTTGGATGACCCCCTCCAAGGCTCATAACGAAAGAACAAGGATACATACCAGTTCGCAATAGAAATGGAGATAACCCCATTTTGTTGTATGTATTATCATCACGAAAGTGAAGACCAACCAAAAGACTGTAATCCATGATGCCTTCAGATTCCAAGAACTTGCAGTCTCGATCGATTTGTCTGACCAAAAGTTCGATAATAATAAGGTTTCCATAAGCATAGCGTAACGAAAACAAAAGAGCTTATAACACTTACTTCATAAAGTCACTAAACCAGTTGGATTGAAGGCGAAACACAAAATTAAGATCAAGATCCTTCAAAGTTGTGGTTTCATCAATCTCTCCCTCAGGAGTACCCGTTGTCCGGCCATGGGATGATCCTTTCAAGTCGAATCGCCGATGGATTCGATATTCCGAGCAGAATAAGTTGCCCATCACAACGAACCGAGTCTAGTTCCCACAAGAACAGATTAGATATCATTGTGAATTCTTGAAGAACATGTAATGAATCTAAATAACACAACACTCTGGATGATGTTTACCTTTTGCCCACCTGTTGGCTTGATGCAATGTATACCAAAAAACTTTGTCACAAGTGAATCTTGATAGCGGGAGACATGCTGATAATAGCTTGCAAGCATCCTGATAAGCACCTGAGTATGCCAGAAGTGTATAGCATTATGCAAGTGCACTTATAACAAGATGAACAATTCAAGGAAGCAACTAACCTTTGCTTCAGATTTCTTCACTGTTTTTATCATGAATCTATCATCCTGTGTGAGATAAAAGAAGCTCCCACTCTTTCCTGGCGATGAAAACTCCCTGAGGGCATCATTCCCACAAATTGCTAGCATATAATCGGCAGGATCGACATCGAACAGCTCCCGCAAGCATCTGTAAAGATCAATTAGAAACATGGATCACAAGAACTCATAGCAGAATATCAGGATTCAGAGAAGTAATGGTTACCTGAACACCACAGGGCAGTAGTCCTTCCAACGAAACTCGACTGACGTGTGGGGTGGCGTCGTTTTCGACCCTTCGGTTGGGAACCTCGTCCAGAATTTCTCCCTTGGATCAAAGTCACTGGACTTCAGCTCACGCACCACTGAAGAATGCTTTCCAACGGAATGTCTAAAGAACATAGCAACATGGTGATATCAGAATCCACAGTAAATGTCTAAAGAACACGACCTGTTTCATGAACTTACCTGATACCCAACTGGAGATTAAGCATCAGTTCATAATTCTTGTGTCCTTTAGAAATGGTCTGGCCTGGTTTCTTGGCCTCGCCGGAGAAGCAGCAGGGGCTCCTCCTAAACTGCCTAAAAAGATCACGATCCCTGTACAACATCGACGCCTCTACATGATCAATGATTTCACAGGTGATATCTCCGGCTTCACCATCGGATTCCCATATGCAAATTCTCGGGAAATTCCTCTCTGTTACACTCCCTCTTGCTATATCCACCGATGATCTCTTCCGTAATGTGATGGTCAAGTTCTTATTCCAGTTACTGTCGGCACAAATGAAACTCCCGTTCCCTTTAGAAACTCCGTTGTCCCATTGCCCATCGTAGCGATTCCCGTTCGCCCATGTTAAAACACCCCGACCAGAAATCATGCCGTTCTTCCACTCGCCGACATACTCGTTTCCGTTCTTCCAAACGTATCGGCCATGGCCGTCTTGGAGATTTTTCCTCCAACTCCCTTCGTAGAAATCGCCGTTCGTATACCGTTTCTTCCCTAATCCATGTTTCCGATCTGAACTCCACGATCCACGATACGAATCTCCGTCAGATCCAATAAAAGTACCGATTCCCTCCATCAAACCCGATTTGAATTCGCCGTCGTAGGTAGCTCCAGAAGGCCAAGAAAATTTCCCTTTCCCCGACGCCTTCCCTCTCCGCCACTCACCCTCGTACATACACCTGTCCGCCCACAAATACTTCCCCAATCCGTGCGGAACTCCCCCCGAGAAACTCCCCGTGTAACGATCTCCGTTCGGCAGATGCTTCTCCACGACGGTCGCCGACCTAGTAGTCGTCGAAACAGCCGTCGTCGCTGTAGAGTGCGTTGTTATAATGGTAGTCGGAGTAACCCTTCTATTCCCAACTTGAGAACGATTCCGACCAACGATTACAACAGGCGGAGCAACAATCAACTTCCGGGTGTCGTTGTCTCGCATTTTCCCTCCTCCCCTTCACTCTCTCCAGCAATCAGCGCTGCATTTCATCACCTGAAAATCTGACGCTTCAAGAGCATCTCCGGCGAATATCTCTCTGAAAATCTAACGGAATCCAACACTCTCTCATTCAAGCTTCGTCTCCATCTTCATACCCAAAATAGAAAGCGCAGAAACTGTAGAAATTTTCAATTCGACGGCTCTGCCTAGGGAACATTGTTAACGATCCATTCCCGAGTTATGAACTCATTTAATTTAATTCTTTAAAAAAAAAAAATTAATGGCATTTATTATTATTTTTCATTAATTTCTCAAATTTCCAACCATACTGTCTCTATTTTTATTCCCTTCTTCCTAAGCTCCCATCTTGACGTGATGGAATCGCCTAGGATCAGCTTCAGCGCCGCGCCATCAGATTTCTTATGTCTAATTACATCTTTAACCTCCTTTCCTTCTTTATTTACCTAAATGCCATTTCCCATTCTTTCTCTATTTAACACTTTTTTTTTTAAATTATAAATTAAATTTCAAAGTGGAAAATTGGATAAAAAGTTTAATTTTTTTTTCTAACTTTATTCTCTGGACCGTGTTGAATATAGAGATTCCCTTTAAGAAAATGTGGTTTTGTTGTCCTTTTTTTTTTTTTAAATATAATTTTTTTTATATTTTTTTTCCAAAAGATAATTAATTAAATTCACGATTGACCCTTTTTTTATATATTATTTTTCTCTCCCGCTCCTCCTCGTAAGCTTGAACTTGACTGACTTAAGCATCGAAAGGTCGTTGACGGTCGAGTACCACGGGTGGAAGATTCTTTTAATAGATCATCATCTCTCGTGGATTGAAATTGCTTTGAATGTGTTATCAACGAGCTACCTCAATTGAAACCGTGCAATGACACTTATGGTCGTAACGATTAAACCTCTATTTTTTAAATTTTTTTTGTTGACATGGGTTTGTGTGGGAATATTTTGGTGCAATGGATTGTGCAAGATGAATCATCAAAGGCAAAGACATAAGCAAATGTGGTGTTGGCCCACTTTCACTTTGTGGCCCATTTGCAAGTAGTGGATGGCCCTATTGCAATTCTTTCACTTTCTTTTTAAAATTTTGATTTTCGCACTTGACCCGACGACCGACCGGGTATGAGTCTCGCGCTTCCGTACATCCATTTTCAGGGTTAGTTGTTTCGGTAGGTTAGTAGATTTCCACTTCTATGACTACCGCTCTGCTGTCTTAATCGACCAATACCCTTTGTGGGATCTAGGTTAGTACGTAGTTAGCCACTATAACCCCGCTCACTTGGTCATGTTTGTCCCTGATGCGTTGTCTGTACATGCTTATTCAAAACCCTGGTCAATTTTTCCTATTTGAGTTATATTTTGTAATGTCGTTTCTCAAAACATTCTCTAACCTATTTTTGGCTAACTTAATCAATTTACAAGTCTCAAAAAAGTGCGATTGTGAGAGTTGATGGATGTGACATGATTTAGTATCAATAACCAACCATTGCCTAATCTACTACTTGCGTCATCCTATCAAAACCCAGACATTGGCGTTCGAGAATGTAGGTTGGTCAGTCAAAGTCAACAAGTTTATCCAAATACGACTTTGATAGCATACGTACGATTACAAGGATTCAATCGCATTATTTCAAGCTTCAAGCTTCCAAGGTTTGTGAAATGTTTTAGCTTTAAAATGTACATATTTCCAGACATGCATCTGGCTATATACAGTTATCATCCAGAACACTTACAAAGAAAGGGGGAGGTTTAGTTTCAAGCTCACTCAAGAACAAACTAAGAAATCATTACCTTTCATTTTCGACGTTAACTTGCTTCTTCATCCGACCTACCAAGATAGCAATGCCGACTATCTACACCGAGCAAAATTTAGAGCAATGGAGGGGTAATCTGCTCGCTATCTCACGGATTCGAAGAGCTGATCGAGCATATACTTGTTGTCTGTGGAGTTTGTGTTGTGGGGTTTTTGCAGACATCTGCATTCGGGTAAAGGGTACGTATAGACAGACGTTTTTCGGTTGAACCGTCTGATTCGAGGTACCATCAGCCCCTTTTGATCGCTCTCTGCAAGCATTACCCCCATGTGTTCCTTGAATTCTCTCCAGCTGTAAGATCAACATGATATGAAGTCGTCTTTTCAGTGATCAGTGTCAATACACAGTCATAAAGCTTATGGATGATGAGTACCTCAATTTTATTCTATCATCCATTAAAATGGCTAGCTTTCGTTTATCGGGCTTGATCGTCTTGGCGTGCCCGTCGTAAAGAAACCGCCTGTGCCCCATTAGAAAGTGTGGGAAGTTACCTCCTTGAGTCGTTACGAAGACCTCGCTTAACAAGCATACCATGTAATCCAGAGCAGCCATTCTTGAAGAATATTCCTGTCAATGAAAATTATGCTAACTATTAGTACTTTGCACAGATGAATTCTCGAGTAACAGTAATTTGTATCAATGTTCGTGTAAATTATGGCCTCGCTTCCTAGAATTGTAATGGGTTTGAGGATTTTAGTTTCGAACTTATAAGAGCTTTTGAGTTGAATTGAGGAAGATGGCGGAGTAAGCAAACATAGTAGACATTGTCCGTTTTGGCCCGTTATGTATAGCCGTCAGCCTCACGGTTTTAAAAAGCGTCTACTAAGGAGAGGCTTCCACACCCTTATAAGGAATGCTTCGTTCCCCTCTCCAACCCATGTGGGATCTCACAATCCTTCCCCCTTGGGGGCCAAACGTCCTCGCTGGCACACCTCTTAGTGTCTGGCTCTTATACCATTTGTAACAGCTCAAACCCACCACTAGTAAATATTGTCCGCTTTTGCTCGTTATATATCTTCATCAGTCTAACGATTTTAAAACGCATTTACTAGGGAGAGGTTTCCACACCCTTATAAGGAATGCTTCGTTCCCCTCTCCAACCAGTGTGAGATCTCACAATCCTCCCCCTTGAGGGCTCAGTGTCATCGCTAGCACACCGTCTGATGTCTGGCTCTAATACCATTTGTAACAGCCCAAACTCACCGCTAGTAAATATTGTCCACTTTGGCCCATTATGTATCATCGTGAGCCTCATGGTTTTAAAACGAGACTACTAGGGAGAGGTTTTCACACCCTTATAAGAAATGTTTCTTTCCCCTTCTCCGACCAATGTGGAGATCTCACAATCCTCCCTCCTTGAGGACCCAACATCCTTGCCGGTACTGATACCATTTGTAACAGCCCGAGCTCACCGCTAGTAGATATTGTCTGTTTTGGCCCGTTACGTAGCACCGTCAACCTCATGGTTTTAAAACGCATCTACTATGGAGAGGTTTCCACTCCCTTATAAGGAATGCTTCGTTCCCTCCCCAACCAATGTGGGATCTCGCAATCTTATAGAAATAGATAAACGGTTTATCAGGCAGTCACGGATTTACTAAAATCTTATAGAGCCACAAGGATTGAAACAATAAACTTACCATATAAGGAGCAAGTTCATCTGCGGTTGCAAGTGATTCCTTTGTATGCAAAAGAGGAAACATTTCCTGTAATGGAGCTAAATATCTCTCTGCCTTGTATAACTTACCCGAAGCCAAATAAATCGAAGTGTTATTATCGAATCCCATACCGCGCAACATCATTCCAACCTAACACGAAGAACGACATTCAAAAAGTAAAAACATAGGGAAATTGGTTTAAAGGATACACCTTTTGCACAAAGAGAACAAAACGGATCATTCTAGCTACCTCCAAGGGGGTTAACGGGCACTTTCCATTAACTCGGTTAAGACTAGGCGAAATAAGATGTTCTTTGAGTTTGAACTTTTTCCTCCATCCTCTCTCTCGAATCGAATCCATATCGACTTTTTCAGCTTCACCTCCATCATATACACAACACGAGAAAGCTACCATGTCCTGAAGTTCAGATACGAGATATGAAATCGTTATCAAATGGGGCATGAATAAATAACTCGTCTAGAAGATGATGAAAAAGCATTAGTACCTCCTCGAACCGTAGATGGACGGAAACATACTTCCCATTATCCCTTGAGCTCTTTTCGATCATCCGGCTAACTAGTGAACGTGCAAAAGTCAGAATGGGAGACGAGAACCTTAATGCTTCGTAATTTGCCAAGCATCTTAAGAATTGGATTTCGGGTGGAACGTTCATGGCCAATCTGTTGGCAAAAGGGGACAACCTTAATACCCTGCAGCAGAGTTTCCCTTAGTTCTCAGTCACAAGTAGAGCATAAAAGGCTTGATGGGTAGCAAAATGATATTGATGAGTACCAAATGATATTGATGAGTACCAAAATGATATTGATGAGTACCTTTCCCTTTGCAAAACAGGTAGAATTTCTCCCAAGTAATAGTTAGCAGTGGACAAAGCTTGTACGTGAAAGTTAGGTATGTTAGAAATGTTGTAATCATATCTTTGCATTAAAGCCTCTGGTAGCTCTTTGACAACTTTCACATGACCGTCAAGGGCAGCTATGAAATGATCTTCATCATAAATATCACCAAACTTACTGAAAACATTTGAAAAAGAAGAAGAAAAATGAGAGAGGAGTTCAATGTGTTCTAAGAACGCAGGTAGAACAAATTCTATCATACTTGTAATGATTTCGAGTTATAAAACGTTTAACATAGCATTGTTACTTCTATTCTAGAATTTCGGGGGTGTTCTTCGAATTCGAACTTTGAATATTCAATGAGAACTTCGAGAATATACATGTAAATAACCATATAACTAGTTATTGTAGTGCACTAAAAGTTTGTGTTGGTTGTCTGGGCAAAACTTTACGTTCTAAGTCCTCTTCTATAATCTTTCAGTTCTAAAAAATCTTGGGGTGGAGTTCTATAACAAGCCCACCGTTGGCAAATATTGTCTTCTTTGGACTTTCCCTTTCAAGCTTCCTCTCAAGGGTTTTAAAACGCGTCTGCTAAGAAGAGGTTTCCACACCCTTATAAAGAATGTTTCGTTCTTTTCCTCAACTGATGTGGGATCTCACAATCCACCCCCTTCGAAACCCAACGACCTTGCTGGCACTCGTTTCTTTCTCCAATCAATGTGGGACCCCCAATTCACTCCCCTTCGAGGCCCAACGTCCTTATTGGCACACTGTCTCATGTCCACCCCCCTTTGTTGGTATATCGCCCAGAGACTGGTTCTGATACCATTGGTAATAGCCCAAGCCTACCGCTAACAAATATTGTCCTCTTTGGGCTTTCCTTTTCAGACTTCCCCTCAAGGTTCTCCTCCTAACCGATGTGGGAT